GGCATGGCCAACCTCTGCCACGCGCACCAGAGGGGGCACGCGGATCCCTCTCTATGGGCACGAGTGCCGTCGCCAGCTGCTCTTCTGCTTTCCAGCGCACAGGCGGCTGGGTTTCCGGGCTGTTTTCAAGCCGTTTTCCGCACCATTTTCCAGCCATTTTTGAGCCATTTTCCAGACCGTTTTTCCAGCCGTTTTGGGCGCCAAAAAGGGCTTGAAAAACAGCCTACAAATTCCTCAAAGAACAGCCTAGAAAATGGTCTGTTTTTTTGCCTGTTTCCAGGCTGTATTCAAGGCCATTTGGGGGGAATTTTCAGACCCTTTTCAAGCCATTTTCGGGACTGTTTTTGAGGGATTTTCTGGACCGTTTTTCTGGACCTTTTCCTGGCTATTTTTTGGGTCACAAATGGCCCGAAAATTCCTCAAAAATCAGTCAGGAAAACAGCCTGTTTTTTGGCTGATTCCAGGCTGTTTTCTGGCCCATTTTTCAGGGAATTTCCAGGCTGTTTTTCGAGCTGTTTTTAGCCCCAAAAAACTGGCCTGAAAACATTCCCCCAAACGTCCAAAAAACAGGCATGTGTGGGTCATCCATCTGGTCTTTGGATCTTTGGTGCTCTGGCACAATGGCATGCAGGGTCCGGTTGGGCCAAAAAGGTTCTCCATCCCTGTCCCAGGAGAAGGGAAAAGTCCTCATTTCATCTGGAGAGCAAAAGGGGAAAAAAGCTTTCTTTTTTTAAAAAAAACAAAAAAACCCATTCTTCATGCATGCGATACAGTTTTTGAATTTTTTTATTATTTTCTTCTTTATTTCCATCCCTGACAAACAATTTTAGTACATTTTCGGCTTTTTGCTGGATGACTTAACAGAATGAGAAAGTTTTAGAGAAGGGTGGTTTTTTTTAGTTTACTTTATTTTATTTTGTAGCATAAAACCAGGAAGGTTTTTCTTTTATCTCCTCCTTTCGTGATTTTGCTATAAAACCCTTTTCTCTTTCTTCAGAAGCGACCTTTTGCTATTTTTAAACTGCCACCTTATACCTGCTGTATCTTTCTGTATTTATTGTTTCTCTGCCTACTGCAACTGTGAAGCCAAAACCAATGATTCTGCTGCTAGTTTTATCCCAAATTCTACTTCTGACCTGTCCTCTTCAACTGACTTATCACGTCGAATTATACAGGTGAGACGGATAGAAATAGGGTGACGTGAACTCCACTTCTGTGCTGTGTCTCCTCTCCTCTCTCTCTCTCTCTCTCTCTTTCTTTCATTTCCGGCACTTATTCATTCTGTCCTTTTGCATCCATGGGGTTACAATAGGACGTAGGGACTGTGCTCGCCCACTTAAACTGGTTTTATGCATGGATAATTTAGGGAGCCTAGGGGAACCGAGTCTCTGTTAAAGAACAGATTGAATAGTATTTAGGTCCAATAAATGAAATTGCATGCTGTCTCAAACATTTCCCAACAGTCAAAGAAACCAGCTGGCTGTTAAAAAAAAAACAAAAAACAGAAGAATTGTATTTTTGTAATGAAGAAAAAGATTTAAGTTCCCAATTTTCTTGTCACAGTAATTGTGGTGCATTTCGAGTTTGGAGATAAATCAGCGCCAGAAAGAGGCTGCTCTGGGTGTGCATGTAGCTTTAATCCGGTACAGCCGTGAGAGCGAGCCTATGGCATGCGTGTCGCCCCAGCTCAGCTCCACTGCACATCCGTGCATGCCTCCCGCCGGCCAGGGGGTCTTCAGGTCTTTGCCGTGCATGTATGCTGGGGTGGGGCGCATGTGGTGGATTCGTGCACATGCTGGGGGGCACATGTACAGGGGCTCTCACATTGCATTTCATGTGCATGCGCGCATCCCCTGCACCAAGCCAAAAATGGACGGGGTGCATGCATTGCATTTTGGGGTTGTGTGCATGCGCACTTTACGCCCCTGGCACCAAAAAGGTTCAGCCATCCCTGCTGTAGAGGGAAATCCTTGTGGGTTTCTCCCCCCACCCCATTATTTGTCTCTTTGCTTGTTTGTTTCCCGAGCTGAAAGCAGAGCAGAAGGGGAGGGGTCTTCAGGGGCCCCTTAAACGCCTCCTCCTTTCTCCCCCTTTGCAGAAACCGCTTGCAGAGAGGAGCGGCTCAGAGGTTACGTCCAAAGGCAGCAGGGTTACGCCGCGTGCCAGACGGCCGAGAAGGTCCTGAGGCTGGAGTGCCAGGGGGGCTGCGGGGACGGCCAGTGCTGCCGGCCGCTCAGGAGCAAGAAGAGGAAGTACCTTTTTGAGTGCACCGACGGCTCCTCCTTCGTGGACGAAGTCGAAAAAGTGCTCCGATGCGGCTGCACCCAGTGCCTCTCTTAACGACCTGTCCTTTTCCCGTTTTCACTCGTTCCTTTCCGAAAAAAATCCCCGCACGGGGCCACATCTCGGACTAAAAGTTACGCTCTGTAGGGGATATATATTGTAAAATACAGAACAGGCTTATTTTTATTACGAGAATAAAGAACTGTTTCTTTAACTACAAACAGACGAAAAAGATAAAAAAATCAAAATCGAGTGCGCAAAGAAACTTCTTGCAACTCCAAGGACTTGAAGAAGGAAATATGTATATGTAAAAAAAAAAAACAGAACCGATGGAAATTTTCCAACCAGGATAGGAAAGATTCACTACTTTTTAACACCCAGCGTTTTTTCATCCCGCTTTGAAGCTCAGTTATCTTTCAGTCTGGTCCTTGGACGGAGGAGGAGGGAGAATACGCAGCTTTTCCTTTTTATGTACTTTAACTACAGCTGGGGGTGAGGGAACGCGCTTCACTTCGGCTTGGTTTCAATTCCTTCCCGAGCCCGAGAAGTTAGGCTCTCTGGCGGAGGAGATCCGTTTTCTACAAGATGGAGAGGAAAAAAAAGTGATGCATTTTGTACAGTGTAAAAAAAGTTGAGAAAATGAGAGCTTTTGTTAATTCACAATTATCCTAAGATCTTCTAACACGATTTTTTTTTTAATGTTAGCATGTTACAAAGAAAAGGAAGGAAGAAAAAGCATTTACCCACCCTCTTGCAGTATTAATTTTTCTTTTTGTAATATAAATGATAAGATTGATAAAATAGAGTATTGTCGAGAAAATTAGATATAATGCGGAGTTTCGTTTCTATCAATCCTGAACAGCTCTATACAGTATTCTGTTTATTGAGAAATATTTATTGTATCAAAGTACACTGTACTTAACATCTAGGCCAATCTTTTTACTTCCCCCCAACCCCTCCAATGCTTTAATATATATTAATTTATATTTGTCCTGATATTTTTGTATTTTCAGTTGTTTTTTTAAAGAGAGAGAGGAAAACTTAAAATCAGGATATTTGCAATAGGACTAATATAGCAGATTCTCCCGGGATAAATAGATTTGATCTGGGTTAATATTTTTTACTGCACCACCTGCCAGCTTTCTGACTGTCTTAGGAACGGAAGCTGCAAACAATCTGATTATAATTTTCATTATAACAAGGAAATATGACATCTCTCAAATCTTTGTAATATATGAGGAAATTGTCTTTACAAATAGGTGGCAAATGTTATAGGTGTGATTTCGCCCCCCCTCCTTCTCCCAAGTATACGCTACTTTTCAGAAAATGAAATTATGTGTTGAAAATGACACTTAGAAGATAGATATTTTCAAACTAATGTTCCCTTGGAGTTTCGTACCTTTAAAATGAATTAAAGAGGCTGTATTACCATTTCCCCCATTATTAAAACTACTTTAAACGCCCAGATATTTTCCTTTGTTAACATGTTGCTGCTAAGTATAATATAGAATTGGTAATAATTCTTTATAGTGGGTTGTTCTCTTTTTTTTTTAAAGTAAATCATAGGGTACCCTGTAAAAAAGGGGGGTTTAATTTCTTTTATACAAGGAAAAGATAGTTGTACATGTGTAATATGGTGTTGCTTTGTCTAATTTGGACGGGGATCAGTACCTTGACTGATGTTTGTAAATTAAACAGATCCTTTACCTCTGTTCCACTTCTTGTATTTCTCAAAGGAGTTTAACATCCTTTGGCAGATGATTCTTTTATTTCGGATATTGTTGAATTTCTCTTGGGAGAGAACGGCCAAAGCTGTATTCTAATACAGTTTTCTACAGCAAACAGTTGTTGTAGCATATTGCAATCTGTTGTATTTAAGTTTTTCTGTGTCGTATAAAACACTTGTTCATAAATTTGGCAACTTTAGCTCCCAGAATTTCCCAGCCAACCTCTTTTGNCTCTTCATCTCATTCACTTGGTGTATTTCAGCTTCTGAGCAAGCTCCATTTTATGTTGATGGTATTTATAATTCCTTTTCAATATACATATTAAAATTTAATATGATCCTTTATTTTCTAAGGTGCTTTAAGTGTCTGTTCCGGCTGCAACAGCTTTTCTTACTGCATCTAACCAATGAAATATATTTTTCTTGCTGCATCCAGTCAAGTTCCCTTTATCTCATTTAAAGTCCACCAGAAATATATTTGTTCTGCCCTAAAGTAGTATTGTCTCACTGCAGTACCATTTATTTTAAGAGTTTCAAAGTGCATGTAAATAGTTCTGCAAACTGAAGGATGGGTGAGTAAGTGCTTCAACTCAGCAGTAGAGAAAGCCCAGAAACTGCAATTTTAGTGGACTTTTCCACTGAAGTTAACACTCTTTCAACAGACTGAAATCTGAAAGCAGCAACAATTTGGAAGGGTATATGTAAGCATATTATCTTTGCTTTTCAAAAGCTGGTATGTCTAACCGTCCTGTATACACAGGCCTGGAAAAGGAGATCCCACTTTGTGGAAGGAATGTCTCTTCTAAGATGGTAGTTGCTAGATCTGGGTTTTGAAAGCATCTCTATTATTTTATCTCTTTATCATTTGTTGTCTATTATCTACAACAGGAGTATCCAACCTTGGCAACATTAAGACTTGTGGACCTTAGTTCCCAGAATACTCCAGCCAGCCATGATGTAAAAGTTTGGAATGTTCCCTTTGTGTAGTGATCCTAATCTCTAGTAGAGCAAAGGAGATTCAAATTCCTATGTAGAGTAGAGTGAGGCTTCAGGTGTTGGTTAGGGATTATTGGAGTTATGGTCTAAGCACATCTATACAGGTTAAGGAAAATTGCTCCAAGTGCTTTGAGAGTCCAATCTCTCCAGAACACAAGTGGTCAACTTTTGAGGAGTGTTGGCGACTGTACTTAACCTTTAGAGTGGGTGCTGCAACATATTTCAGTTGAAAGGGCTGCATTATGCATGGAACAATCTGTTCCATTCTTACTTGTTTTACAGAAATGTAGTTTTCTACTTTTTGGGGTAAACAAAGTATTAAGTCTATGCACTACTTTTTTTTTCTGGATTTCCCACCTGATAGGTGAGAAACAGCACTAATACGGTTGGGGCCACTGCCAAAGGGCGTAGGATGCAAATGGGGATCACTAAAAAGGTGTTTGAGAAATGTGTGATCCTGAGATTATATTTGCTGTGGATCAGCCCATGCTCTGTGAGAGTGCTGGATAGCTAATGCAATCAACAAAAGGAAAAAAGAATACACTTGTGTGCTGCAAAGTTGTTGCATGATAGCTGTTATCATACCCAGCCAACACAACCTAAAACTAGTGTCACACGTTATGTATGATTCTGTATAAGGCAGCATCTTAATGTTCCTCGGACCTGGCAAAATGGCATCGGACCTGGGTACCTGAGAGACCGCCTCCTGCCAATTACCTCCCAAAGACCAATTCGATCGCACAGGCTTG